AACATTATTAAGCATATGTCTTGTGTGTGTGTATGTGTGTGTGTGTGTGTGTGAGAGAGAGAGAGTATAGAGAGGGAGCAGTTTGCCCTCCTTGTGCCCCCTCCACTAGAGCATCTGCAGGCTGTGCACTGGGCTCAGGAGGGAGGGGGAGGGTAGGGGGGTAAGAAAAGAAAAGCAGTGGTTTCTATTCATGTCATGGCGCCTTTCATTGGCGGAAGATGGATTTATCTCTCTTATTTCTTTATTCTGCCTCTCCTAACCTTTTAGGTCAGATTGCAGGGGACCGTTGGAGAGACACCGTCACGTGACCCCCGGTACCAAATGGTCTTCCGGCAGAGGCTCTCAACAAGGACCGGAGCACAAGAAGACGCCGCCACTTCTTTCAGAAATGCAGAAGACAACATACTACGACAACTCCTCGACACTTTTCGGTGGCTACTCGTCCTACCAGGTGCAGGGGGCGGCAGCGGCAGCAGCAGCAGCCGCCAATGGCTTTGGGGGCTACGATGCCCCGGTCCCAGTGTCCCACCACCAGCCGGCCTTCCAGTCGGCGACCCATCTGGATGTGGATTCGTACCAGCGCTCTGCCTGCTCTTTACAGTCGCTGGGCAGTAACAGCAGCCACCAGCAGCAGCAGCAGCTAGCCAAGACCAAGGAGCTGAATGGCAGCTGCATGCGGCCCAGCCTGCCGTCTGAGCACCACCCCGGCTCCCAGGTGTCCCCTCCATTGCCCCCCAACCCCAGCAACGGTAATACCGGGGCTCAGCAGCCGGGGGGCAGTGCTGGGGCCTCCTCAGTCTCTAAACCAGGCCCCACTAAGTCGTCTAATTCTTCCTCCTCCATATCGTCCTCCACATCATCCTCCGCCTCCTCACTGCCCCCCAACCCGACCATGGCAAAGCAGATCTTTCCCTGGATGAAAGAGAGTCGGCAGACGACCAAGCAGAAAAACTGTTCACCCAGCAACAACTCTGGCAACGGTGTGTTAGATTACACCTGTCTCTGTCTCTCTGTCTGTCTTTGCTTTGACCCCCACCCCCTCCCCATACTGCCACATAAACAACATGGCAAAGCAGAATAATTATTCCTCCTACACCAGTCTCTCTCTTTCTTTTTCTCATTACTCCTTTCCTCAGTTCTGTCTGTCCTCCCTCTATTTCTTTCTTCCTTCATTTTCCTTCCTCATTAGCGTCTTTGTTCCTATTATCTTGGCTTCTATTTCCCATCACCACATCCCTCTTTCCTCACCTCTCTTATCGCCATCCTCTTTCAAGCCCCACATCCCCAGAGGATTTAAAAGGTTCTCAGACTATTATGGTAAAACAGGTTTCCACAGGCACTGGTTCAGACAAGGAAATGACCACAGGCAACTAGTCAGGCTGGTTATCATTTATCTGTAGCTGTTGAGTTAGTCTGCTCTGGTCCAAGGTGATTTTAGGTATCTGATATTGCTTTTAAATGAACTGATGTGGCCGGTCAGTTGAGTATCTTTCAAATCCATAAATAGGTCAAGCAATGACTAGTGTCAAAGAGGTCAAAGGTCAGAGGCATGACAGTATGACAGATATTCCTGCAAACCTAGAGGAGTGCTCAAGTAAATAAGTAAAATGCAGGAAGATTGAAATGGCAAAGAATATCCACATACTTACTTGTAGGAAAAAGGATGCTAAGTTATGATGTTTACAAATGAATGGATGATTGGATTCAACCAGATCACAAACAAATCCTAAAATACATGTTTGCACTGTCTTTTCAAGAGTTAGATGAAAACCACCATTATGTGTGAGTGTTAAGAGCTCAAATCAGGAGGCAGCCAGGTGCAGTGACTTTTGGGAGACTTCTGAGTTGCCAGGTTTGGTAGCATCAAGCATTTATCACTGAAATAGTTCCAACACATAACTACCCCCAAAACCACCCAAAACTGAGGGGAAGAAGAGAAACAAGGTAATAGCGAGATCATTTCCATGCTCGCTGAGGAGGACAGTAGAACAGAGAGAGATATTTGGTGTTCAGCTGGTATTCAGCGTCAAATATTAGGCAAAATGACCTAAAAAGTTGGACTGGCTAGAGGAACTTGCATGGCAATTTGTCTTTAAGTTGACTTTCTTATCAGTGACAACTGAGCAGTCATGGGTTCTTTACAGTTACACTACAGTCAGTTATAGGACAATCTAGTTAACCAGCACCTTTCCTTGTTCACCACCTTCTGGTTATTATTTGCCTTCCAATTGCTCTTCTCTATGTCCTCTTTCTCCTCTTCCTCTTGAAAGAAAGCCACTGCAAGAAGGAAGATATTAACAGGGTGAATTTAAATGTCATGTATGATAACAGATGAATAGATTTGTCTGAGACATTTGAAACGGAAGATATTAGCAAATGGGGAAAAAAAATAGGATGATAAATTTGAATATCATCTGCATGTGTGATAACAGACAGATATGTTATTTGAATTGGTAGTTATCAATGAGAAAAAATATGTTCTGCCATAATGAATATGAGTCTCATATTCACATTCGAAAAGCTTTCAGTTGACCTGGAATAGAGTTGAGAAGAGATTAGACTGTTTATTGATGAGTATTTGAAACAATCATTTCAGAATGTCAGCGCTCTGTCAGACAGATGATGTGATCGTTACCTCTCTCATCTTTCTGTCCACCAAAATAAACACTTGAGTCAACTGTTTATACTGTTGAGAGAGATACAATTATGGAGAGATAGGATCTCAGTGCTTGCTTTGAACTGTACTGCATCAGCAGTTATTAGTATGAACACATCGCAAGCATTCACATACTGTAGACACATACCAGCGTTTTTACATAACAGAGGCATATTTGGCACAGAGAGAGATGGAAGAGAGCACTGTAGTTCAGCACTACTGTTTAGTATGGAATAAACATTGAAAAACACCAGCCCAGAGCTAGAAAAGTATTATCAGTTGCTGGTTAAGTTAGCCTACTTAAGCTTCATTTACTTCAGCATCAGACCAACCATTGTGATTGTGTAGTTTTTACACATGGAACCTTCAGAAGTGCTGATGATGCAGTTGCTTTTGAAAATTACGCAAGTTACTTCCACTTCCTGTTGAAATGAAGGATTATTACCGACATTACTTGCTTTGGCTTTGTACGTCATATATACACTAAAAATAGTAAAACGAAGAGTTTAATGTTCAGTTTTTGTTGAAACTGTTTCACAGAGGTGTTTATTCAACTGTATGATCATTTTGGAGGTGTTTCCATTATTTACTCTACCCTCATTGATATATCAGGTTGGACATAACATTGCAAACAACCTCAGTATGATGCAACATAATTTAACAGCACCAAACTGCAGCCTCTAAAATAGCCATACAGCTGAATCAACACCTCTCTGACACCGTTTCAACAAAAACTGAACATTATAACCTAATTTGAGCTAGCTAATAAACTTGGTACACAGTGTAGATGAACTGACTTGTTTACAACCTGTCTGAACACAGAATCACACGTATTTCTTCAACTGTCGGACGTATTTTTTACTGAGATTGCAGTGTTCCCCAGATCTCAGCAGTGACTTTAGTCACCACAATGTTATTCTAATCAATAAAACTAATGACCAGAGCTAAGAAAATAAAACTTAAGTTGCAATAAACTTTTTTGCCTCCTCACTATGGTTGCAGCACTGCTGAAGAATGGCGGTGACAGAGGCTGATTTGAGGTTTACCAGCTTTTATGGCTTGCAAACAAATGATGTGAAACATTGTGCAAACATTTCTTTGTAATGTTTTAGAAGGAATTGTTTATTGGAAACCGATTGAGAGGATGGAGGATAATCATCGGCTATGGGCTAGTTAATTGTGGCTAGTATAGACTACTTGAGCAATTTTGAGTCAGATAACCAATTATCACCTAGAGCCTTATTCTCTTAAACGTGTCTTATAAAGCAGTGACAGCATCTGTTGGATTTTAAGGTTTAGCGGGCTCTATGGCCTTAAGACAAAATGATTAGTTTCCTGCTGAGAATAACATACACATTGCCATTCTGAGCAAATATTTACAGTAGGTAGCAAGTTTCCACTGGCGTGGAGCTGAATGCCTTTCAGCTGTTTAAGAGTCAGTACAACTATCACATAAACGTGGTGAGAAGTTTGACTTTTCTTGGCGAGCTGATTGAAGTGAGTGCAGATCAACCTCGGTTCCTGCTCGTAGTCCTTGTGCTGCAGCTGCTGTTGCTGTGGGGGGTTTGTCTTTCCAGTCGAGATGCAATTTAGCTGCCCTCGGCCAGCGCTGGGGCCTCCGTCTCTTAATAACTGCCACTGTTATGAAGTGTTGACAACTAATATCAAGGGATAATTCAGCCAGCATGCCCGGACCCCCTTCTGCTTTATTAAGAACCTGAATGCTTTCAATTTCCACCAGCATGCAGCGTGATTGTGTTTTATTCTCTTCCTCTCTGGTTCTCTCAATGCTCATTTCATCATCTTTTTACCCTTTTTTAATATCCACACTTTTCTCCCTTTTTGTACATTTCTCCCACTTTTGCTCTCTTCATTTCCCAGGGGTTGTCCTTCCCCTGTTTCTTTTGTTTTTCTTTCTCTGTGTCCTTGCCTTTTTTAATTTCATTCTCCATCCAACTCTCTCACTTGCCCTTTCTCGGCGTAATGTTTTCTCTTCTCTCCTCAGCATCAGGAGGAGCTGAGAGTGGTAGCAGCGGGGAGAAGAGCCCTACCGGTGGGTCGTCAGCGTCATCTAAACGGGCTCGTACGGCGTACACCAGCGCCCAGCTGGTTGAGCTGGAGAAGGAGTTCCACTTCAACCGGTACCTGTGCCGGCCGCGCCGTGTGGAGATGGCCAACCTGCTTAACCTGTCCGAACGCCAGATCAAGATCTGGTTCCAGAATCTGCGTTCCAGAAGCCGCGGCCATGAAGTACAAGAAGGACCAGAAGTTGAAGGGCCTCGGTGAGCTCCAGCTCGTAGGGCGGCTTCACCGACTGGCCTTCCCCAACCGCCTGGACCATGCAGTCTCCCCAGGCTTCCTCAACTCCAATGCACCCCATGGGACGGGGAGAGGCCAGGTCCAGGCTACGAGCGGTGCCGGCAATCTCCGCCATCCTTTGGCCAGGCCCACCAGGGAGTGTTTTTACTCATGTCGCACTGCCTACTCAATTGTCCCCATGAAGGGCTGGCCCCCCCAGCAGAAGTTATGCGGGCCCCAGACCCGGACTACGGCCGACTCATCCCCACCACGCGGCCTTAGGTGCAGGCCATACAACGCTGGCGTAATGGGAACTCCCACCAACATGCTAGGGCCAGGTCAGTCTACGTGGGGGTTGGCAGCTATGTGACCCTAGGCCTTGGCTCGGGCCCCCCTCTTATGTATGGGGGCTAACACGCCACCTCGGCCCCATCGCCCACCCCAGCCACCAAACCATGGACACAATGGCGCGGGGCCCATGTCGGCCGGCCAACCAGCACCACGTGCCCGGGTCCCTGTGACCCGCCCACACACCCTACGTACACCGAGCTGTCGGCGCACCACACCTCGACTCAGGGCAGAATCCAGGAAGCACCCAAGCTCACTCACCTGTAGCAGGTTTGGAACAAAAATGACAACGTAGGAAATAGTGAAGACGACACAGAACAAGTAACACGACGCGACTCACTAACAGACTAACTAACATGTGGGGACTTTACTGCTGCAACGGGACGGCAGGAGAGACAGAACGAGACAGACAGGAGCCATCCAGTGGTTTGTCCCGTGCTCTATAGCCACAAAGGGGAACAATCAGTGTTTGGTGTTGTCCAGCACCACCCTGTTTCCACTGCCTTCATCAAGTGTAGTTCATTTAATTAAAAAAACAAAGGCTGTGCCTGTTACCAAGTAGCAGTGATGGACCCAAACCATTCATGTCAATAAAAGTACTGAAATCAATGATAGTTGCCAAAAATTCCAAGAATTTTTTAAGCTGGGACCAAACTTACTAATTTACTCTCCACTACTGAAATCCTCATTCAGGAGAACAGGAAACCAAAACATTTAAACCTTTTAACATTAATCAGTTTGTTAACTTCCCATAAAAATGGTGGCTTGCTTAATAATCAGAGATTTATTTTTCATTTTAGAACTCTTGGCTACTTTTACGCATGCTTATGAGTAATTTACACTCTACTCTGAGTGTATTTCTTGGTCCCTGGGCAGCGAAGCATATTGCAGGCGTGGGAGACGAGGTGTACAGTCCAATTGTCTCCCACGTCCCCCTGGGGACAATAAATGTCAGGACACTCGTCTTGTGGCACTGGTGCAGAGACATATTGGCAGCTGTATGGCATAACAGGGTCTATGGTGAGCACCATTGTTTGGTCAGTATTCATTAGACTGATAATCTACTGCACAGTCAGTCTGAAAACTGCAACATGGACTACTGTATTCAAACAAAGCAGATGTCAGAAGGCAAAATGTCAGATTTTGATTAAGAAAACTTCTCAAGAGACCAAAAAAAAACTAAAATGAAAAAAAAATCTATCAGTATGATATGATATATATATTTAAATAATTTAAATAATTGCAGCATTATTACACTGTCACAAAAGTCTTCCTCTGTGGATTCCTAATTCATTATTGGACTGCTAAGCTATTTTTGCGTGGGCGGAGCAAATTTGCAGCAGTAGCTCAGTTAGCAGTAGCATGTTGTAAAAAAGAAAAGCCTGTAATGGCTCTGTTAGAGCTAGTATGTGCTTTAAAATTGTTCTTTGATAATAAAATCTCCCCCCTAAGACACACACATATACAAACAGCTCTCCCGCCTGGTAAATGAAATAGTTGAGATTTTAATGGGCAGTTAACGAGGTGGTTAGATTTATGACGCTGAGCTCTCTCCCCCTCCAGGCAACACATGTTGTTGTCAGCCGAGCTGAGCTATGTGGAGGGTTCTGCCTCTCCATCAGCCGGAGAGAGAGCGAGAGAGAGAACAGAAATATATGGCTGGAGCTGGCAGCACTCGTCTTCCTCTGTTCCCCTCGTTCCACGAAGCACATAAAAACCACTGGACGGTCATCTCTTCACTGTCTCTTTTTGCCTCATGCCGTACCCGTCTCTGTCCGTCCAGACTGAATCACTACTAACCCTCTGTCTCCTGTCTGTGGCAGCAGCACATGGCTTCTGAAGGAGGCAAAATTTCCCACAATCCGCCACAGACCACCCCCCTCCCACCCCACACACACACACACACATCCATCACCACACATGCACCACTCAGCACCCCTCCCATCACTCTTAACAGGGTTTAAGAAGCTACAAGCTCAAAGGCTAAACTAGCTCCCATAGACACACATCTGTGCTAAGCTACATTAGCTAATCACTCCTTTACACACACACACACACAGCAATGCTAAGCTAGCTTCCTTTCGTTGACACACATCTACAGCCAGGTTACGCCAGCTGTTGACATCTTCAAACAAACACATGAGAGGACATGGAAGAGAAATTTTTAATGTTCTTACTTTAGCACATCATCGACACAGGGTAAATAATAAGAGTGGAGAACTATTTATTTATGTTTGGGTAAGTCATTGCCCTCCTCTCTCTCTCTCTCTCTCTCTTCCCCCTCTCTCTCTCTCTCTCTCTATCACTTTGGAAGGGTTCACTTTCATTAGCGGACACCAATGCGTAAAAGTCCACATTTTATATTATTTTCTTTTGTTCTCACATATCTTGACTTTTAACGTGGATACAGGGTATATATTTGAACAAAAATGCATGTCCCAGAAATCTGAGCTGATGTGTATCACACATTTTTGAAAACAACTGGGTTTATTTGTTTGAACCGTCAGTGAGGGGAGTCTAGGAAAACACACACACGAGACCCTTACAGACTGTTTCAGCCAAACTGAAAACAAGCTGCGTGTGTGGCTGACCCCTGCTACACTCTCTGCTGTTCTGGAAATAAACCTGTCATATGGTTTTTAAAAGTGCAGATTTACACAAACTCGTTTCACATCTGGGCATCATTGTTGCACTTAGAGTTTACATTTTGATGGTTAAAGGTAAAAAATAATAATAAAATCTTATTTTGAAGACGGAAGGCCCTCCAATCAAAGCGTCTTTCGCCAATGTGTGTTCAAGTGAACATTCATATATAAATATTTATTTGTTATAGCCAGTTTAAAAAGACTTTCTGTTTTGTATTATTATTATTTATCCTTCATGTATTTATATCGAGAAAAAATACTGTACTTTTTTAGTATTTACCTGTTATGAAAGAAAAAAAAAACAACATTGTGTTTCTTCTTGTCCATTGTACTGAAGTTACATTTTTTAGTTCTTGTATTTTAGAAGAAAATAAGTAGTTTTTATGTTCCTATAATGACCCTTGTACATAAATGTCTTGGCTTGTACAGGGAAAAAGGCAAGGGTGGGGATTGGTGACCCATCCGTGCATAGTCGGAAAATTTAGACAAACTATTAGCTGGAAAAAAGAACGAGTCTTTTTGGAAAAAAACAACTTCTTCCTTTGTCCTTTGTAGCTCCTTTTTCTTTCATTGTTGAGAGAGTTGTCTGTCAAACAATTCTTTAATAAAATGTTATGTTATTCAGCGCTATCGTCAGTTTTTTATGATTCTCAGGAGTGAAGAACTTGACCAGAATGTCCCATCTGAAAAGACACTCTGTTAGGCAGTGTTAGTGTCAGGTAGAAACCTGCCAACACTGATTCTATTGACTGTCATGGAAACATGCAAACAACCCCTGGCACTGCTGGGTTCCTCTTGGCTGCAAGCTGTGGCAAAATTCATAAACTATGAAAATATGTAAATAATTGCACACCCTAGGATTAGGACTAAACAAACTTTTAAAGTCAGTCGAGTTCTGTGGTGGTGCATGTTGTTGTTGATTATCAACTTTGAAGGATGACATATTCTTCATTTATTTTCAAGCTGCTAAACCTTTTAGAACCAGCAGTGAAGGCCAAAGCATGACTGCTGTTACAAGTGAACATTTTAAAGATACCAGACATCGCCATTATTTCATCCAAATCCTTTCAAAGTACAATAACTGTTTAAATCTTGCACAAATCGTTTTGTTTGAAGATGTCATGTAATGTGTACAGTATGGGGACCGTGTATATTCTAGCATCATGTGATGGTTGAGGACTCAAAGCGTTGTTCACAAATCCCAGATCTGATGTGACTTCTTTCAAACAGCGTGTCTCTGGTTGAGGGATGACCTGACACTGATGCCAGTATTGAATATCGGGTCAATACCTCAGGCTAAAGCATGGCATCACTGTCAGAAAACTTTCCCAACAGTTCAATCCGAAGCCTAGAGCCACATGTAACATGTCAGAAAGAAAAAGAAAAAACCTCTTCAACCTTTATCAAAACTTTAAATGTGCCTCTAATCTCCTTTATGCTTTACAGACTAGATGGTTACTTGTTATTTTTCTGGTCAGCCTGATACATGTTGCTCCTTGATTAGTTTTTTTCTTAGAGACCTCTCTCTAGGGAGGAAACATTGACTTCAGCTCTGATAACCCCAAACTATTGGTCAGTGACCAGTTCAGTAACAGTAAAAGCTCAAACTCACTCAGAACTACTCTAGATATTTTAGTGTCCATTGCACCATCACAGTATTGCATTTGACAGATTCTATTAATGAGAGTCAATTTCTCCTCAAAAATAAGATACAATTTTGAAATAATGAATGCAGGTCATGATTTGAAAACTGATAAAATAGATTATTTTTAGTGTTTAAGTTACTCGTTATTGGAGCGGCAAAGTAGCATACATGCAACTTGGGTTCAGCCCTCCAATCCCATGCTGTTGAAGTGTCCTTGAGCAAGCTGCTGAAACCCTATCTGACCTCTAAACTTGGACGTTTCACGTGAGAAAGACCTGTTCCTTGCCATCATTGCTCACTTTATTAAGTTCAATAGTGTTTAGGAGCCAGTTCTGTGGAACTGCAGCTCTGAAAATTGTGAGCAAGAGGTTGAGGTGTGGTTGAAAGCTCTGGAAAAATACAGTGAGTTAAAACTTTAAGTATGAGTTAGCTTCTTGTGACCAATTCATGATCCCAGACCAGAACTGGAGAAACCCAGCAGATGGTTGGAGTTATATAACACTCAAAGCTCTGGTCATTTCCTTGACAGATGTCTTGTACTGCTTAGACTTACCATGCAAAAAGAGAGTTTGGACTCTTTTTTTACTAGCTAATCCACTGTTTGATCATGTTAATTACTGACTGTTTTTAATAATTGACTGTTGATGGCTGACTGCCTGGATTGATGTTTTTTTTGTTGTTTGTTTTAGAAACTTTTACTATTAATCAGAAAGTTAATTTTCACTCTTGGGGGAGGCAAACTGGTTCCACATTTTTCAACAGTCACCTGTGACCCAAACGCAGAGATCCCCGCTCTGTCTGTTGCTTGCTCTCTGTAACACACACAGGCTGATCCTCCTGTTAGCTATGTGTCCTGAGTTGATGTTTATGACTAAAAAAAGCCCCGAGGCCTGCGCCTTGGCCAGGTCACGTGGTCTCTAACCCCCCCAACCCTACCTCTCTAACTCTCCTCGCTCTCTGTAGCACGCGCTTGTACTCGGAGGCCTGAGAGCAGCATAAAACTTGGAACATAAATCAGGCTCCCATAAATAATGGCCGTACTTCCCTTTACATCTCCGTTGGACTAACAGACAATAAAAACACCAATAAGCAGAGATTGGATCTAATTTATTGCCTCATAAAAACAGACGGAGAGCTGGGCTCGGCTTCAGCACGCAGTCTGCTGAGAACAGTACAGTTATATACAGTGAGACTGTAGAGCAGCTCACAGCCAGGTACACTCATCTGCCATTATAACCGACATTTAATATGGCTACTACACTAGGCAGGAAAGATGTTCTCTGTCAGATGTCAACAAATGTCTAACAGTAGCTATCCATTTGACTAAACTGGAATAATAATAATAATGAAAACAACAACAAAAGTGCTAAGAAAAATCCAGGTTATTTTTACTCAGTAGACCACAAAATAAATAAATAAATAAACGAGGGAAAACAATTCATGAACTACATCTGAAGCTTTTTCTTTTCCTTTTTTTCTTTTGGTTTATTTATTTATTTATTTATCCTTACCGGAAAGAGGTTTTGGACCAATAAAGACTATTCTGCTAAATATCAGTAATTAGTAATAACAATTTAAATTGAATAAAGTGAAAACGTGGTTACTGGAAGGAAAAAAGAAACGGTTTACCCTACCACTGTCAGTAACCCCCTAACAAAAGAACTGACTCCTGAATAGAATAAAATAAAAAATAAAATAAAATAGAATGAATTAAAAAGTCACTAATCGTCATCTTCAGTCGACCAATCCACGCATCCCACGTAAAGACTTAAAAAAAACTGCTTCTGCTCTCCACCAAAACTCCAGAATTCCACTCGGAATTTTACAAAAAAAAAAAAACATACTGCAGCTCCATCTGTTTTACTTCAACTGACACTTAAACTTCATTGAATATTGAGACTTCCAATTCTATTCAA